CACTACACTATACACTACACTATACACTACAATATACACTACACTATACACTACACTATACACTACACTACTATACACTCAACACTACACTATACACTACACTATACATTACACTATACACTACACTACTATACACTACACTATACACTACACTATACACTACTACACACTACACTATACACTACACTATACACTACACTATACACTACTATACACTACACTATACGCTACACTATATACTGCACTATACACTACACTATACATTACACTACTATACACTACTATACACAACACTATACACTACACTATACATTACAACACACTACACTATACACTACACTGTACACTACACTATACACTACTACACACTACACTATACACTACTATACACTACACTATACACTACTACACACTACACTATACACTACACTACTATACACTACACTATACACTACTACACACTACACTTTACACTACACTATACACTACTAAACACTACACTATAAACTACACTATACACTACACTATACACTACTACACACTACACTATACACTACTACACACTAACTATACTATACACTACACTATCCACTACACTACTACACACTATACTATACACTACTACACACTACACTATACACTGCACTATACACTACTACACTAAACACTACACTATACACTACTACACGCTACACTATACACTACTACACACTATACTATACACTACACTATACACTACTACACACTACACTATACACTACACTACTACACACTACACTATACACTACACTATACACTACACTATGCACTACTACACACTACACTATACACTACACTATACAGTACACTACTACACACTATACACCACTACACTATACACTACACTATACACTACACTACTATTCACTACACTACACTATACACTACACTACACACTACACTATACACTACACTATACACTACAACACTATACACTATACACTACACTATACACTACACTATACACTACAATATACACTACACTATACACTACACTATACACTACACTACTATACACTCAACACTACACTATACACTACACTATACATTACACTATACACTACACTACTATACACTACACTATACACTACACTATACACTACTACACACTACACTATACACTACACTATACACTACAATATACACTACTATACACTACACTATACACTACACTATATACTGCACTATACACTACACTATACATTACACTACTATATACTACTATACACAACACTATACACTACACTATACATTACAACACACTATACTATACACTACACTGTACACTACACTATACACTACTACACACTACACTATACACTACTATACACTACACTATACACTACTACACACTACACTATACACTACACTACTATACACTACACTATACACTACTACACACTACACTTTACACTACACTATACACTACTAAACACTACACTATACACTACACTATACACTACACTATACACTACTACACACTACACTATACACTACTACACACTAACTATACTATACACTACACTATCCACTACACTACTACACACTATACTATACACTACTACACACTACACTATACACTGCACTATACACTACTACACTAAACACTACACTATACACTACTACACGCTACACTATACACTACTACACACTATACTATACACTACACTATACACTACTACACACTACACTATACACTACACTACTACACACTACACTATACACTACACTATACACTACACTATGCACTACTACACACTACACTATACACTACACTATAGAGCACACTACTACACACTATACACCACTACACTATACACTACACTATACACTACACTACTATTCACTACACTACACTATACACTACACTATACACTACACTATACACTACTACACACTACACTCTACACTACACTTTACACTACACTATACACTACTACACACTACTACACACTACACTATACACTGCACTACGATACACTACGACACACTACACTATACACTACACTATACACTACACTATACACTTCGATATACACTACACACTAAACTCTACACTACACTATACACTACACTATACAGTACACTACTACACACTACACTATACACTACACTGTACACTACACTATGCACTACTACACACTACACTATACACTACACTATACACTACACTATACACTACACTACTACACACTACACTATACACTACACTATACACCACTACACTATAGACTAAACTATACACTATACAGTACACTACTACACACTACACTATACACTACACTATACACTACACTATACACTACTACCGCACTACACTATACACTATACACTACACACTACACCATACACTACACTACTATACACTACTACACACTATACACTACACTATACACTACACTACTTTCCACTACTACACACTACACTATATACTACACACTACACTATACACTACTACACACTACACTATACACTACACTATACACCACACTATACACCACACTACTATACACTACTACACACTACACTATACACCACACTACTATACACTACTACACACTACACTATACACAACAATATACACCACACTATACACCACACACTACACTATACACTACACTTCTATACACTACTACACACTACACTATATACTACACACTACACTATACACTACACTACTATACAATACTACACACTACACTATACACTACTCTATACACTACAACACACTATACTATACAATACAATATACCCTACACACTACACTTTACACTACACACTACACTACTATACACTACTACACACTACACTATAAACTACTACACACTACACTATACACAACACTATACACTACACTATACACCACACACTACACTATACACCACACTACTATACACTACTACACACTGCACTATACACAACACTATACACTACACTATACACCACACACTACACTATACACCACACTACTATACACTACTACACACTACACTATACACAACACTATACACTACACTATACACCACACACTACACTATACACCACACTACTATACACTACTATTCACTACACTTTACACTACACTATACACTACACTATACACCACACACTACACTATACACCACACTACTACTACACCACACTATACACTACACTATACACCACACACTACACCGTACACCACACTACTATACACTACTACACGATACACTACACTATACACTACACTATACACCACACACTACACTATACACCACACTACTATACACTACTACACACTGCACTACACTATACACCACACTACTATACACTACTACACACTACACTATATACCAGACACTACACTATACACCACACTACTATACACTTCTACACACTACACTATACACCACACACTACACTATACACCATACTACTACACACTACACTACACTATACACCACACACTACACTACTATACACTACTACACACTACACTATACACTACACTATACACCACACTCCTACACACTACACTATACACCACACACTACACTATACACCACACTACTACACACTACACTACTATACACTATTACACACTACACTATACACTACACCACACACTACACTACTATACACCACACACTACTATACACTACACAATACACCACACACTACACTACTATACACTACATTATACACTACTACACTATACACTACACTATACACTACACAATACACCACACACTACTATACACCACACAATACACTACTACATACTACACTACTATACACTACACTATACACCACACACTACTATACACTACACAATACACCACACACTACACTACTATACACTACATTATACACTACTACACTATACACTACTATGCACTACATTATACACTATTACACTATACACTACATTATACACTACACTATACACCACACACTACTATACACCACACAATACACTACTACACACTACACTACTATACACTACTACACACTACACTCTACACTACACTTTCCACTACACACTACACCACACACTACACTACGATACACTACACTATACACTACACTACCATACACTACACTATACACCACACACTACTCTACTATACATTACACTATACACCACACACTACACTACTATAAACTACACTATACACTACACTACTATACACTACACTATACACCACACACTACACTACTATACACTACTACACACTACACTATACACTACTATACACTACACTATACACTACTATACACTACACTATACACTACACCATTGGCTCTTAACCTTGGGTGCGAGATATGGCTATATTTTTTGTTCGAAGGTAAATCATCGAAACCCAAATGAAGCCCGGGAACGTAAGCCACAACTACTTCGTTTCATCAAACGCCGATGGATGTTAATCTTGATTTTAAGCTTTCGTCACTGCAGGAACCCATTCTCTTTGGTTATATCGGGTAGAAAAAACATAATGATCTATAATACATCACGACGTTTCGATCGCAAAACAAGCGACCCTCGCTTGTGTTGCGCCCGAAACGTCGTGATCTATAATTATTTGTTCTACCTAAGTGACTTTCCCGACGGATGTATCAATAACATTGCACATGTCTAAAACAATAGGGAGCTAAAGAGGCGCATGGCTGCAGTGTAATTGCGGAGAGGCACTCTGCCTTCAAGCCTCGATGGGAGCTCAAAGAACGCCGCATTGATCGACCACGAGCGAGACGATCGTATTTGAATTGTGTGCCGGGGGTGGGGGGGCTGGGGTTGGCCGACGTTCCGAGCAACGTCTCGACGCCAGCTCGGACGCGGTGACGTCCCCGCCGTACCGCCGCAGCAACAAGGGCGTGCGCGGTGACGTCAGGACGCCGAGGCGACGCGGTGACGTCAGGACGCCGAGGCTACGCGGTGACGTCACTGGGGGTGGGGGGGGGGGGAGAAGGAGGGAGGGGGCTGGGGTTTAAAACCCCGCTCCGCACGCGGCTCCGACACCATAGAACTCGGTCGGCTACAGCGTCGCCGCTGTACGTTCGGCAGACAGCCGTAGCCGCGCGCTATAGCTATTGAGCCCGCAACAACAACAAGAGACACGCCACGGCAGGGACATAGCAGGCACGCTTGCAGGCATAGCCACCGCTGCACGTAAAGCAGCAAAGAAACGCGCCGCGGATATTGACACAGCTGGCACGTAGCGGTCACGATAGCGTCCGGGCGCAGCGGCGGCAGCGGCGGCAGCAGCAGCTCCACGAACAGCCTGCAGCAGCAGCAGCTCCACGAACAGCCTGCAGCAGCAGCAGCTCGAGACGACACGGACAGAAGCGGTGGCCGCGGCGCATACATCAGCTGTGCGTAACAGAGGCTGTTGGTACAGGATCCATCGCCGCATTGCTCTCAACGGCAGCCACCATCATCATCAGCAGCAGCAAGTGAATCTTCATCACCATCGGCACCATGAGGCTCTCGCTGTCGCTGCTGCTGCTGCTGCTGTCTCTCTGCCCGGTCGTGCTGTGCTGGCCGACAGACAACGGAAACAATGGTGGCGCCTCCGTGGAGGATGAGAAGGAGGAGATCGCGGCGGTGGGGAAGGAGGAGGAGGTGAAGGGGGTGAAGACGGAGACGGCGGAGCCGGGCAAGCGAGGGGTGGACGAGGAGCCAGGGGAGCAGGGCCTGACCTTCGTGTACCACCGCTACCCCGAGCTCCGTCGTGCCCTGCTCGCCGTGTGGCTGCAGTGCCCGGACGTGAGCCGCGTCTACAGCGTGGGGAGAAGCTTCGAGGGCCGAGAGCTGCTCGCCATCGAGCTCACAGACCGGCCTGGGGAGCACCAGCCCGGTGAGGTGGGGGGGGGGTACGGGGTGGGGGAGATGGGGGGAGACGGGGGTGATGGGGGAGATGGGGGGGATGGGGGGGGAGACGGGGGGGGGATGGAGGGGAGACGGGGGGGGGAGACGGGGGGGGACTATCAAAGGAGATGATGATGAGTCATCAGGGCAGGTGGCTGAGGTGGGCTGGGTGGGGGAACATGAGGGTAGGAGATGATGAGGGTTTAGCGCACACGGGAACGATGAGTATCGATGGGGGGGGGGGGTGTAATGGTGGGGCTTGTGTGAGGGGGGGGGGATCATGGGACATGACTCTTAACGGCTTGGGACAAAAGCATGGACGTGCGGGAGGGGACACGACGGAGGATGATCGGGGATGAGGAGGGAGGAGGCCATGGACATTGTGGGATAGGTGACTCACGCGAGGAACACGAGGTTGAGACGGGGAAGGGGTTCTGACGGGGTAAAGGGGACCCAGACAAATTCATCATTGGCAGGGGTGGAATTTCTGTCGACCCCGCCGCGCGTGGTGATGTTCGTCACATTGATGGCGGTGGTGATGGGGAGACAAAGGCGGTCGGGCGTGTTGCTGGCCACCCACCCCCTCGTGCACCGTTCCGCCCTTCATGGGTTTGCTCGTGAACAGTACTCGCCCCAGTAGCCCGTTAAAGGCAATTCGGGGAGGTCTTTGTCTTTGGTGATAATGATGATGAATCATGATGACGAGAATGATGATGTTGATTACGACGATTGTGGGTTATGGCGTGAACTTGGGGTGAGTCGTCACTGCGCCGGCCACGTCAATGATGAGGTAGAGGTCAAGAGGTCATCGTGACCTCGAAATCCCCACACCCCTGGACCTCCCCAACCCCCAATAGCAGGGTGGGTAGCAGAGAAATATTTTCCTGAGCACTTTCCGAGACAGCTGCAGTTGGATTGAAGCCTCGCACCGCACCGTGCAATCGCTTCCTTCCTTCTGCCAGACCTCCGGGAGATACATGGTGGTAGGGTTCGCTTTGATGAGACACCTGGACTCGCGGTTCAGATCTCACCTGTCCTCCCACCTGTCCCACCCGTCCCACTTGTCCCACCTGTTCCTGGGTGACTCGTGACCATGACGGTACCCCATGTCGCACCTCGGCGGCGTCTCCCATCTGTGCTCAGAATTTATGGCCACACCTGGGCTTCGCGTGTTACCGTAATCTCCCGAATTGTACAACGCTGCGGAAAGTAAGACGCAACCCCAAAAGTTGTGCCCGTTGTCAATAATGTTACCCAGATTTCATAACTGTCGACCCATACGATTTACCCCGTATTCTTGTACAGGGAAATTGAGTTTTAAGGTCCATACGGCGTACAGCCGTTCCAATACGGGCAGGAAAATGTTTTGTCTATTTGTGTCTGTGTTTCTCCCTTGTGATGGGACTTGGTAGGATGAACGTTGAGATTTATAAGGGCACGGGGTGAGCAATAAGGTCTGAATTGGTCTGTAATATGGTAGGCATTGATAAGGGGTTGACAGGTGTATGGGATCTGGTCACACACACACACACAGCTAGCAGATTATACAACAAATCCCACCCCCACTCCCACTCAACCTCAATGCTCAAATGAACAGTGGTTGGAATTCCACATTCTTATGACGGGGGTGAGTCTATCAATAGGATAGAATAATACTGTAATAATTTGTAGATAATAATGCAAGAACATTGCCAGCTATATTAGCCAGCAGACAAATAGTTCAAGATAATGACATTACAATAACAATGCCAACTATATGAGCCAGCAGACAAATAGTTCCAAGATAATGACATTACAATAACAATGGCAGCTATATTAGCCAGCAGACAAATAGTACAAGATGATGACAATACAATAACAATGCCAGCTATATTAGCCAGTAGACAAATAATTCAAGATAATGACAATACAATAACAATGCCAGCTATATTAGCCAGCAGACAAATAGTACAAGATGATGACAATACAATAACAATGCCAGCTATATTAGCCAGTAGACAAATAATTCAAGGTAATGACAATACAATAACAATGCCAGCTATATTAGCCAGCAGACAAATAGTCTCAAGACTATTTATCAGGAGGGTCCTGCTACAGGGGAGCGATGTTTTGACCGATACCGGTAGCACAAGCGGCGTTGCGGGTAAGAATCCGGAGCACGGTGAGAAGAACCCTCGCTCACCACGACGTTCCCTGGTAACGTTTCCTGGCCACCCCGTAGCCCCACGCCTACAGCACCTGGCAAGCCCTAGTAGCCAAAAAAGAGCGACTGAGCGCTGCGGCGGTGTTGGCATGCAAATGAGAAACGCATGGCGTTGTTGCCTGGTGGAAAATATCCCCCCACCACCACCACACCAGGACCCGATTAGTGCGGCTAGGATGCTCGCGGTGACGGTGGTGCGGGCCTCGTCGAGGTGTGGAGAGGCCTCGTGGAGACGGAACGGAGCCAGCCGCCCGCTCGCGTTAGACGGACGGAACGCAAAGCGAGGGGGGCCGCGATCGGTTTCACGCGGAGGGGCGACGACGAATCGACCGATCGATGAGGTCGCCCACGGCGCGGCCTCCCTGCCCCCATGCACGGCAGCGATGACGGATCGCACCCAAAGGCGACTTCACCGTGGCCGGCTCCGCGCTCGCTCGCTCGCTCTTCCTGTGCTCTTTAGAAAACAAATTCCTGCTTCCCGTGTTTTGTGTGTAAGACGCTCGGCCAAAGGCTTCGGGCAAAATAAACATCGTGCACTTTCGTCTCCCTTCGATCTAGCGGCGGGAGTTGCTTCTTTAGACCTCTCCGAGGCGGGCGAGCGAGGCGGCCAGCCGGCCGAAATCACGGCACAATCGCCGGACCCTCTTTTAAACCATTTTACGTGCGGCTGTGTCGGGTGGTGGGGGGGTCTTGACGACACAAGTTTGAACAAAATGATTTACGTGTCCTGATCCGCCCCCCTTCCCCCCCTCCCGCTCAAAACTAAATTTGCGAAATGTATTTCCGCTTGCTTTCGAACCTTGTCAGCCCCCCCCGCCGCCGCCCCCCTTAAAATACACGTAGCGAGATAGCCGTGCTAGCTATTGCGTAACCGCATGATCGGTGGTGACGTCCAGCTGAGTTTAACGCGTCGGCTTTTCGCCACCAATCTCATCCATAATACGTCCACCTGATCCCCTTGCTTATTCTCGGGGCCCTCGAACCTGCCGCTTTAGGTTGAGACACTTTGCGTCCTTAAGCCGTTGGACGATTTTTCAAATGATTCCGTGCGGTTCGGTGCCCGCGCGAATGTTGCTGGCGCGCCGTGAGGCAGTCGCGAAGCGAGAGACCCTGGCGAGTTTCGGAGACGCGCACGTGTTTAATTGGCGGTGTCACCTTTCGGTGAGGTTTGTCTCCAACGTGTTGTGCCCGAGACGCCGGTGGCCCCCTCTTTAGAATGCCGTCACGAGGATCCGTAACATCCGCTGTGAAGCAGACGGGACGCGTAGGAGTGTTTTATTTTTGCGGTTTAAAATATTCGCCACAGTTTTAACCAGGGCGGCCTGCTAGGTTCGAACCGGCGGGGTACACCGATTAATTATTTACGAGTTTTTGTTAATTTATGTCTGTGTTTGACTGGGCGCATTGTTCCTTGTTTGAGCGCGTATGTGCTGTGTTGGTTTTAGGTTGAAAATGTTTGCGTTGGTGTGAGTGAGAGTGTGTGCGTGATGCTGGCCACCCACCCCCTCGTGTGCCATGCTGGCCTGCAGAGTTGCTCGCCAACAGCACTTGCCCCAAAAGTCTTAAGGCTATACGGGGGATATGTGTCTTTGTATAGAAACGGATAGTATTAGTCTAGTGGTTAGCGCTTTGCTCTACCAACCTGGTGACCCGAGTTCAATTCCCGTTCAGCACCAATATTTGAACTTGCACTGGGCCTCCCCTAGGTCGTCTCGGCCTTAAAGATGAGTAAACTGGCACGGTGTGTATTCAACGTCGGCAGGAGGGAGGCAAAGGTGGCCGGGCGTGGTGCTGGCCACCCACCGCCTCGTGTGCCTTGCCAGCATTCGTAGGCGCTACTCGTGAACGGCACTTGCCACAACAGTCTGTTGAAGGCTATACGGGGGACGTGTATCTTTGTTTGCTGTGTATGTATGTGTGTATGTGTATATGTGTATATGTGTCTGCTATGTAAACGTTAATCGCAACCCCGGACGCCCTTGCAAGCGAGACGTTCCGTATCAATTGGTTTTCCAGCTCAAATATTTAAATACACCTCTAAAAATAAAAGTTGGTAAATGCGGAAGTCACAAGGACCCGAGTTTCAGACAGAAAAAAAACTGGTTTAATCAAACTCTTGATCAACAATTTGCGGTTTGGCCAGTGTAACCAAATATATAATCCACAAAAATCATCGAGGCCAAACCAACCAGGATTCATCTAAACAAAAATGTTTACATAACATTGGCACCAATATACAACCAAATCGAGTGATCTGCGCTGCCACTATCCAGATCCGGAAGAACGCTGCTGCTCTGCGAACAGAGTGGAACAACGTGGACGTCCAGAATAATAAAAAAAACCCTTCCTCCTTCAAGATCCAAAAACACCGTACCTCCTGGCTGTGCCACTCTTCCTCCTAGAAGACAATGGTGGTGGAACCATCGGCTGCATCAGAACGTCACCAGCAGGCCGATGTTCCACCACATCTCCATGAATGGGAAATTAAAAACAAGGCAGAATGTGGCAATACAACCCCAAAACTATGTAGCATATAGTAAACCCATAGAGACTCGGTAGTGATACTTAGAGATACAGAGAAACCCATAGAGACTCGATAGTGATACTTAGAGATATAAAGAAACCCTTAGAGATGCAGAGAGACCCATAGAAATACAGGGAGACCCATAGAAATACAGAGAGACCCATAGAAATACAGAGAGACCCATAGAAATACAGAGACCCATAGAAATACAGAGAGACCCATAGAGCTTCAGAGAGAGACCCGTAGAGCTTCAGAGAGACTC